TCAAGCAATTTGAAATACTTAAAGCATAGAGAAGAATATTTTATTTATTTATATTTCAATCCTTTATTTAGAGTGAAAAAAAATTAATATTGAGATTGATCATTATCACTATAGATGACCTCAATTCACTAAAATTTAATTTTAATAATTAGTCTAAATTCATTTTATAAATATTGAAAATTTGATCATGTCCTTTACAATGAGCAAAGTAACATCATAAGTGGTTGGGTTGGGTATTATGAAAGAACTTTCAAAAGGTTGGATCTTGGAGTGAGATGAGGTGGGCATGCTATGAATGTTAAGACTTGGAACACACTTAGGTGCAAGAGTAATGCAAACCTTAGCCTTTTCGCATTTAGTAGAGGATGTGAGTGATGGAGTAAAATAGAATTATATATTGTTGCAGAAAATTGATACATCTTCAAGTAGAGTGTTCTTAGGAGGTCATCTTCTAGAATAGATTATAACAAGCATAGGTTTAGCTGTTTGTTGGTCAATATGTGGTGACAAATAAGGATGAACAAGATTGTGGATAAATATAGACTTTTTAAGCTTACTATGGGATAAGAAAATTAGATTCTAGCAGCAAGGCTTTAGTCCTAAAGGACTTAAGACTCATGTAGAATGCTTTCTTTCAGAATAGTGAAGGGGGTGGGGTTGAATCTATTCTTGTAAATTACCTCTCTAGTTAACTAATTATTTCTTTTTTTCTTTCCTTATATTAGGTTAAATGGCTAGTAAATGGAAAAATAATGAACTTAATGAGAGGAGGTGATCAAAATGGAAGAGATAGTTTTCATGATGGTTTGGTTTGCCTAAGCCTATGCTCACTTCCCAAGGGATCCTTGGGTTCTAGTATCCAATACTTATGATTACAATTGATTTCTAGAATCAGCCAACCCTTACATCATAGACTCCTTGAGTCTAAGAAAGTTCACTAAATTTCATGGTTCTAGCAATCGTTCACATGTAAATGGTCACACCACATGTGCTCTTCATGAAGTAACTAAGCACACCACAAATGTTCTTCAGAAAACAATCAAGCACACCACACATGCTCTTCATAACATAAGAAAACATGAGACAACCAAACTTTAGGAAGAAACAAATACCATTGCCTTTGAGGGATATCAGCTTGGTGGATGATAAGAACTCTTTCATCTTGTTGAGGCTTGAGCAGAAGGTGATTAGTTACTAAGACTCATGCTCAAGTGCATCCAATAATTTGCTGAATAAGAGCTAGAAATAAATAAGGAAGCGTGGAGAAATCATCTGCACTCTCTCTCTCTCTCTCTCTCTCTCTCTCGCCACACTTAAATTGATTTTCTATTTACCTTAATTTTTGGAGAGAGGCCCTGTTTTGTCTCAGGGGTTATTGGGTTGGGCCGTTTTGTTTAACGGGTAGTAGAAATTAGGTTATGCAGTATTTTGGGCCTTTGATGCGGGACGAAGGGGCCCAAAATAGATCTTCTTAAAAGAAAAAGAGCTACAAAAGGGATGAGGACTTAATATTCGATGATCCTGAAATTTTAGGAGAATTAGGATCATTAATTACCTATTAGGTCATCTAATTTAAAGAATTAAATAAGGTTTTTAAACCAAGATTAAGTCCATCAATCTTTCACATGCAGGTGGCTATCCTATGAATTTCACAAATTCTAAGAGTAAAGATTTAAAAATAATGACCAACTTCACAATTAATTTAAATATCAACACACTTTTGCAATGTAGATTTTGATAACTTGAAGATTTTGATAGGTTCGAGTGGCTTGAAATCTACGAGGCTTGCTGGGGATTTTCCAATGGGTGATGATTCAAGAAAATGAGGTTTGGGCCAAATAGCTTAAGTATATAAAGTATTTGGATAATTAAAATTTTAAGAGATAAAAAAGTGTAAAAGAGGAATAATAGAATAAAATAATGAGGAGAAGAAATAAAAAGATGGGGAGAAGAAAAGGAGCGGAAGGAGAGGTCGTCGACGGGAGAGAGAGAGAGAGAGGAAATGGGGGGTACGTGGCGACGGCGGGAGAGAGAAGAAAGTGGGTTTCGGCGGGAGAGAGAGAGAGGGGCGTCGGTGGGAGAGAGAGAGAGAGAGAAAGAAAGGATGGGGTACGTGGGGACGGCGGGAGAGAGGGGGAAGAGGGTTTCGACGGGGGGAAGAGAGAAAGGGACGTGATCTTGTGGTGAGGGAGAAAAAGGTGGCGGAATAAATGCGTCAGCAGGAGAGAGGGAAAAAGGGGTTCTCGTCGCGGCAGCAGGAGGGAGAAAAAGAGAGGGTTTGCGACGGCGAGGAGATGAAGTGGCGGCGAGGGGGCGGACGGCGAGGATGCGGGACGACGGTGACTGGGCGGACGGCGACAGGTTGGCTGGCGAGAAGGGGAGTGGCGGTGATGGGCGGACGACAAGGATGCGGGAACGAAGAGGAGGCGGAATGGTGGTGGCGGGGCAGATGGCGAGGAAGACGTGACGAGGCAGAAATGGAGGTCCCCCTAATCCAAGAGGGCGAGAAGAAGAGAGGAAGCCCCTAGTCCAAGAGGCGATGAAAGGAGCGGAGGAACCCGCAATCCAAGGGGCGAATGAGGGAGAAGGAACCCCTAATCCAAGAGGTGAGAGGGATACACGAATCTTCTTGATTCTAAATTCAATTTCAACTTCTCCCCCAGTATTCTTGAGTTTGAATATTTATAGGAAATAGAGGACGGTAGTTGGAGGAGTTCACTCCCCAAAGGATGCCAAGCGGTGTCTCTTGGAGGGAGAAACGACTTCCTTAGGTGAGAAGGGGTGCATGGGCGACGTGGCCTCTTCTCCTCCCTCTTCTTCTTCCTCGTGTGTGCACCCAAGGGAATGAACCCTCATATTGATTCCATCAGCCTTACTGGTTAGTTTGTGATGTGGGCCATGCCACACTTTGGGCCGTAATACTAGTCGTAATATGGATTGCGTAGCACTTTGGGCTTCGTCCGTTCAGTGCTTGTCGGACCACCTTTATTTGGTTGACTAAATGAACCCATCAAATGATTGACTAAGCCTTTAGGACTTATTGGTCCCATGCTATTGGATCAAGCCTATGGGCTTAATCAGGCTATGCCTTAACGGGCCACGCTTGAATAATACCTTGGGCTGACTCTGAAAATTTATTATAGGAAAATACATCAGTGCATTGTAAAAATCATGGGTCTTTCATATTTATCATTGAATAATGATTCTAATTTGACAAGTTGTAATCACACTAGGATATAAACCTTCTAATTCTGTTGAACTAACAATTAGGTGATCGGATTTTAAACATTAGTTACTGAAGTTGAAGACCTTTGATAATATAATTAGAACATGTAAGATAATTAAGAGCATTAGGCTAAATATGGTAGATAAAAATATTTAAATTGACTCGAGACATATAGTAAGCATATCAAGAATTTCACACACATAATTTAGAGTAGTTCAAACCTTAGCCTACATCCACTATCTCAACTGTCATGCTCGTTTAGTTTCTACTAATATTCGTATTCTACGAAGCTTACATCTAGGTACGCATGGCCCTAGGAATGAAATAGTCCATTGGGTTGGGCTTCCAAATGCTCTAGCACTCATGAAATTAGAAAAATCATTCCTTATCGATAATCACTCTTGACTTTCTTGACTATGGCCTAGTAAACATCAATCAAGTAGCTGTCACTTCTCTGTTGAGTTTAGTAGCAACTTTCCACCAAACAACAACTATAGTAGTGTAAGAAATCCATTGGGTTTATTGACTTTGGCTCAATTGAATGGGCATTCTTCATCTGATGTGGTTCCAATGCTAGCTAGAACCTTCCTTTGATATCCTCTCTAATTTCACAAAGGAGCATCACTTACCTATCCTCCCTTGATCATTCATCCTTTCCTCTCTTTTTTTGCCACATAGTGCATGCATCAATGAATATGTTGGAATATTGAGTCTTATATGTCTAGAAGTAACCAGTCATTTTGAAATTGTGGTCAAATAAAATTGCATAAATATTTACTTCTTAGTGAAAGTGTAATAAATTTTTCATAGTTTTCACTTAGAACAGAAGTTGGATGAAGGAGTAACCATTTTTAGAAAGAGCTCAAGAGCTAGATTCTAATTTATTAACTTGTTCTAACATATGCATAAATCTTTGACAAATAAAGTAAGGGTTTATGAATACAAAACAATGCAAAACGTGAGTGGGATCGGATCAGGACACAAGAAGCGACTCAAGATGATGGCAGCATTTCTTCCTTGAACATGGAGGATTGGTTGATTAGGTCGCTCTTAGGATACCAAGACCCGATGGTCCACATAGGGATATGCCGAGGATATTCAGATATTTCTCTGCTATATGACCTGTACAGGATCCTTCCCCGCGGTTGTCAACAGTCTGGGCCCAACTATGGAACTATTTTGGCCCACTTTAATCCATTAAACTCACATGGTCAAATCGGCCCAACAGCAGTTTTTAACACATCCCGCCCGGGGGGAGGTTTTGGGAAGGGGGGGGGGGGAGAGAGAGAAGAGAGTTTGTGTCGGAGAATGGGGGTGGAGAGAGAGAGAGAGAGAGAGACTGTGAGGGAGAATAGGGGGTCAGTGGAGAGAGATTATCGGGGCTGGCGTAGTACGGACTTTTCGAGCCGGGCTGGCAGGTCTTTCGAGTTTCCAGGCCCATTCAAACTCAACACACTACTTTAAAAAAGATTTATTTTTTACTGTTTTTATTGTCACCTGCGGATTGGTAAGGTGTTCACGTGGACGCAGAACAGGTGTCGCCATAAAATGGGTTCTGGGCGTTGGTCTCACGTGGTGCCTTCGGCCACTGAAACCGCCTCCCCTTGGCCGTACCCCACCGAGCCAAAACCATCGGCCCTCTCTCTCTATCAGGAACCCTTTATATTTCTCAGTTCTCACGTCGGTTCTCAACGTACCATCGAGGTTTGAGACTGGTCGGAGGTGAGAAAGAGAGGGGGAGAAGAATAGCTCAGAGAGAGAGAGAGAAAAGGGGATGGCGGAGCAGCGGAGCGTACCATGTTGCCCTTCGTTGAAGAGGATAGAGAGCCGCGGGGGGCTCGACTCCCACGGCGGCGTGACCTTCTCGGTGGAGGCACCGTGCGAGGAAGAGCCTCGCCGCTTGTTGGATGCGTGCTTCCTCTGCCGGGGGCCCCTCCGGGGCTCCTCCGACGTCTTCATGTACCGAGGGGACACTCCCTTCTGCAGCGAGGACTGCCGCCAGGAGCAGATCGACCTCGACGGCGCCCGGGAGTGGGAGCTCGGCTACTGCCGGAGGACCCACCGCCGCCGCGCGTCCCTGCTGGCTGAACTGCCGAGAACCCCCCAGGGCAAAGCGACCGTCGCCGGCTAAGAGGACTCGGAGGTCGCTCACATCAACAGATCCTCTCAAGGAGGTTGAGGGAAGCAAAAGCCTCAGCAGAAGCAAGAAGAGATCTCCAGATCTGGAGCGTTAGACGCTGTGGATCCTGGTGCTGCTACGCCGAAGTTCTCCTCCTCGCTGAATCTCGAGCAAATCTTGTCTATATGCGAGCTTTTAGTGCATCGTAGCCCTGATTCCGAGTGAAACCCTTCACAGGATCCAGCTCTCTCCTCCTCCCCCTCGCCACTTCTCGGTACGATCTGTATGTCCATAAACACACGGGAAATTTTTGCAAAATGAAATCAGGAGTTTTAGCATATAAGAAGTAACATCTGTTTCTGTCTCGGTTGCTAAATGGCGCCGCCCTGGAGGAGTATTTTGCCGCCCTTGATTGAATCCTGCTTTTTTATCGTTCCTGCTGAAGCTGGGGAAGATCGCTCCACGTGAGAACAACCTATAACAATCTGCCACGATAGATCGTTCACGAGGAAAATCCCACCTGGCCCTCATGAGCAATTATATTCGAGGATTGTTGACGATCCACGTGTAACTACTCCGAACCTAGACACGAGCCTTGGGAAAGAGAAAAAGCCCGAAATTATGATAAGAGCAAAGGAAACCCAGGCCCGGGCTCATCTTTAAAATATATGAGAAAAGCATAATGTACAGGTACCAAATCATGACAGAAATCTGTGGAAAGTGGCCTCGAGACTGCGGGTCCGGGCCGGGCCTTACACATCGGGCCAGGCTGGATGAGCTTTATTCGTTGGCGGGGGGCAGGTATTTGATGAGGTGTCGCGCCTAAAATGATTCGTACAATCAGTGCACGAGGGGCGGTGGGATTCGGCGACGTGGCATTGTTGAGTTTAAAATTACTGCGCCGCCTGAAACCGCATTCCCAAAAACAATCTCTCTAACCTCTCTCTCTCTCTCTCTCTCTCTCTCAGGAGCGATGGCCGATACGACCATTGTTACCTGTTCCTCCAAGGGAGAGCTTAGGGGCGCTCGGGGCCCTGGGCCCGAGGCACCTTGGCGGCGCCGTGGGAGGAAGAGCGGCCTCGCCGTTCGCCGGATGCGTGCTTACTCTTCCTCCGACGTCTTCATTTACCAGGGGAATGAGCCATTCTGCAGCGAGGGCTGCCGCTGGGAACAGATGGGCCTCGATGACGCGCGAGACACGGAAGTCAGGCACCGGGGGAGTAGGCACCACAGGCGCCATATCCCCTGGAATGCGGTTTCTTCCCAGCCTCCACGCCATAGCCTCCGAAGAGGTTGCAGCCTGCTGAAAAGGAGTGGAGATCGTCCAGATCTGTTCCGATCGTTCGAGGAGACGTCAGGAAATCAGAATGCAGATCTGCAAGACAATACAATCCGCTGAAAATCGAATCAAGACTATATCAGCGGATCTTGCTGAATTGCACAGCAGAAGAGGCTAAACCTCTGTTCATCTTCCGTCGATGGAGAAATCAGATGAGGTTTACGAGCTTGGCCACGGGAACCAGTTTTCTCTTCTCCTTGCTCTTCACCAACATCATCATTATCACCCATTTCCTGCCAAGAATCAGAGGGAAATTCATTCGACGAAGACTCGCTCCACCTTGCTGGTACAAGCGACGATCCGCCGTGATTATATAATCAAAGAACTAATCCATTTCTACCGAATCAAATCGCAGAAGGCGCTTTTCTTTCAAATCGAATCTCTCCATCTCGATCGATTTTCTGCTTCGATTTATAAATGGGGCGGCGGGCGCACCCTCCCATGCGATGACGTGGCAGAGTATCACGTGGACGCTGCTGGGGCTGGAATCTCGGAGGAATCTTATTATTTGACACGTGGCAATGGAACAAACTCCTTTAAGTGCTATCCACCGCGGAATTTTCCAAATTAACCTTTTTCTTTGAGCTTTTTTGAAAAAAGAACCCTTCTCGGCGGTCCCTTGCGACCAAAACCACTTCTGAGGCAATCCGAAAACCACAGGCGGTTTTGTGCGGCGACCACCACCTCTCGCTATCTCTCTTTCTCTCCAACACACACACTACTGTGGACCGGCGCCCTTTATTAAGCCCGTCGACTCAGCTCTGGTACTCCCTCCCCATAGGTGTTTCCTAGAGCCCAACGAGCAAAGGAAAGGGAAGATTAGCAGAGAGAGAGAGAGGCCTAAGAGTTGGACGTACCCTCCCATAGGATGACATGGCACTAGCTCACATAATTGGAACAGGTGGCGATGTGATAGGACGTGTCTTCAGGGAGTGAGAACCACCGTGGAATTTCTCAGACATCAGTTATTATTTTTCTTTGAGTAGTCATTTTCGGAAAGGCGGTTTCTCCGCGGGTCCCTCGTGCCCGAAACCACTCCCGAGCCCAAAAACCAGAGGCTGTTTTGGGCGGCGACCACCACCCACCCCCCCCCCCCCCCCTCGCTCTCTCGCTGTACTGTAGACCAGCGTCCCTTTATAAACCCCTTCGACTCGATTCTAGTACGCTCCATAGGTGTTTCCTAGAAACCAGCAAGCGAAGTAAAGGAGAGAAGCAGAGAGAGAGAGGAAGAGAGTAGACCAGAGATAGCAGAGCGATGGCAGATGCGTGCGTGGTCCCTTGTTCATCTACTTTGAAGAGGAGGGAGAGCCAGGGGGAGCTGAGAACCCTCGGCGGTGTGATCTTCTCGTTGGAGGTAGCGTATCAGGAGAAGGAGCGTCGGCACTCGCCGGACGCTTGCTTCCTCTGCGAGAGGCCCCTCAGGGCCTTCGGCGACGTCTTCATGTACCAGGGGGACAAACCTTTCTGCAGCGAGGACTGCCGCCAGGAGCAGATCGACCTTGACGACGCGAGGGACAGAGAAGCCCGGTACCGGCAGAGAAGGAACCACCGCCGCGTCGCCACAGGGGAGGCGACACCGCAGTCGGCCGATCTGCCGAGCATCCGGCATACTCTAGCCACCGAGGCTATCGTTGCTGGCTAGATTGTTGTGCTGGAGATCTCCGACAAGTGCTTGGATCGTTGAGATCCGCTCATAAAACCGAGAAGAGAAGATCAGCAAGTCCGCCCGAGTGGGAGCGGCGAAATTTCTCCAAAATCGAGAAGATGCTCGCAGATCCGGCCGAATAGAGCGGCAGAAGCCGATGGATCCTGATGCTTGCTCACAATTTTTGTGCCAAGGCTAAAAGCGTTCTCGTTTTGCGAGTCCTTGTACAGCGGCGTGTGACTCCTTGTGAAATGATTCACCGTGTCCTAAATTTTGCCCTGATCGATCTCCTTCCGCCTTCCTTCTCATCATCGGCTTCAGGTCCAATCACGATTCTCATATCGTTTGCGCAGGGTTCTTCGAAACCCACCCTCTTCAACCCGATCCGCTTGAGGAATTCCTCTTCCGGAGTGATCAAAAAGTTTTTCTGGTTGATCCGCTGGAGCTCTCGTTCATTTCCAATCGAATTACCCGATCTCTCTCTCTCTCTACAAACATCTTCCCACATTCAGGCGACCTCTCGCGCGTGAGCTTGAGTGCCCAATTAATCTTCTAATAATATTATTCGCCAGGTTGTCCCCTTCCGCAGAGGCATTTATCATGTGGCCCCGCAAACACGTCATCGACCAACGGGCTGGCGCTTCCACTTGTCATGAGATAATGACTGAAATCAATGAATTAGATTCTCTCTCCTCTATCTCTCTCTCTCTCTCTCTCGCTTGTGAGAGCCTTATTAAATAAGTTAATTTTGTAGGTGTTATTTGAAAAATACGCGAACCTGTGGGCCGGTGTCCACAGCCAAGTGGGATGAATGATTTGATTGGCCCTCGTGGCTCCTAGCTCCTCCGTGATTGATCAGACGGGCCTGAGTCACTTTCATCCTCCACCTGCCGGGAGCGCCGCTGTCCGGGAAGCACTTGTGAAACCGGCGGGCCATGCCCTGTGGGCGGCTTACGTGGATTCTCGTCGCCTAGCCAAGGGTGCCGACGCCCCTCTCCACCCCCCCCCGGGGCGCTTAGTCAGAACGGGTCGACAGGTGCCAGTTTTGTCGGAAAACTGGAGTCGGCTTAGTAATTTATAAATATTAAAAAAGAAACTAAATTAGTTTTAGAATTAAAATCGAGACAAATTAATGACGGCGACGCTGCATCTACCTGCATCTCCCCCTTCCGTTGCCGAGGTGGCATCGACGTGTCTGTTTTGCCCTCTCTCAGTGGGCCACGTTCCATCAACACGAAGGACCCCACAGCTTTCCTCCCTCTCTCTCTCTCTCTCTCTAGGCATTACTGCAGTAGCCCATAAAACAACCAGTCTCTCTCTCTCTCTCTCTCTTTGTATATGTTAATGGGCTCTATGAATGAGGGCGGCCGCAAAATTTAAATATTAGTGATTTTCTCGCACGTGACGCCAGAGAATATTAGGTTTAGTGGAGAGGCTGCTTTGCCCGCACACACGTGTTGGCCAGAGGGAGGAGAGACTCTTTGGGGATTCAGCTCACTGCACGTGTCAGCACTCAGGCCACTTGCCCGCGCGTGTCGAGGAAAGGAATTACAGCTGATTTATGATAGACCACTTGCTCTCTCTCTCTCTCTCTCGCCCCAATTATTGAGACCGGGCGTCCCCTTTATCAAGCGCTAGCAGCTCAACAGTGGCGCTCCTCCGAGCGACCACCCGAGCTTCCTGGTGCCCGACGGGCGGAGTCCAGAGAGGAGCGATGGCAGATGCGCTCGCCGTTCCCGGCTCCGCTTCTGCGGCGGTGAGATCCCGCGGCGGCGTGACGTTCTCGGTGGAGGCGCCGTGCCAGGAGGAGCCTCGCCGCTTGCTGGATGCGTGCTTCCTCTGCGGGAGGTCCCTCGGAGGCTCCTCCGACGTCTTCATGTACAGAGGGGACACTCCCTTCTGCAGCGAGGACTGCCGGCAGGAGCAGATCGGCCTCGACGACGCGCGGGACAGGCAGCTCAGGTATCGCCGGAAGAGCCGCCACCGGCGCAGCGCCGCGGCGGAGCAGCCGTCGCCGTCGGCGGACGCGCAGAGCCTCCACGCCAAAGCCGCCGAGGCAGTCGCCGCCGGCTGAGAGCCGGCCGGAGAACCTTCAGATCTATGCCGGAAGACCGGGAAGCAGATCACGAGGAGCTGAAAATCTCACCGGAATCAAGAGCAGGCTCGTCGGTCTGGTGGCGGATCCGGACGCTTGCTCGGAGATTTTGGTAGATCGGTGGCATGTCCTCCCAGCGAAATCAAATCAGAATCAAATCATCCCCTGAAGATCCAAATCTAATTTCCTTCCAACTGCGCGATCCCTGTCAAGAACATCGAGAGCGGTTTAAAATCTTAGGCGATTGGATTCGATTCGTCCCCCAACAGAACCGCTTTTCTCCCCCGGGGCTGATATTTTCCGGAACACTCTTCCGTGATATTACGATACGTGCCCCCCCTCACCCTGTACGTCCACGTCATCCACCATGAGACCTCCCACCTACCGATCTCCTCTCCCTATCGTGACTCGCCCTTGCATGTGCTTTCTTCTGTCGTTTACCCGCCCGCCGCTCGCATGACGTGGCATCTGAGATCTTCCGCCACCTGTGTGATCTCCTCCCTCTCTCTCTGGCTGTCACTATCTCTTTGTGATTGCCAGATTTAGCGCGATAATTAATGGTTGTTAAGACATTAATGGTTGAACAACAACAGAAAATAGCGGCGGACGGCCGTCTGATGGATCGAGCAGACTTTCGGCGGCGGTACCCCGCTCCGGTTTATAGTTTATGCAGATTCCCTTGGCGGGAGAGAGAGAGAGAGAGGGGGGGAGAGAGTTCCGCCATGTGGAAGCCAGCAATGGAAGAGGTGTCAAGTGCCCTCTTGGGGGACTCTTGGCGTCAGAGATTCCGCCTGTAGCAGAAGGCCACCTCGAGGCTTCCCCATTCAGGACACGATTCCCCATTGGGGGTGCAGCAGCAGACTGTCGGCTGTTAGGAGAAATCCTCTCTCTCTCGTCTCTCTTTCTCTATCTCACCGCCCTTCGCTCCATTAAAATGGGGCATCTTTCTGCCATCATCTTTCCACCACGAGAAAGGGGGGAAAGAGTTAGAAAGATAGAGAGAGAGAGAGAGAGAAGGCTTCAATGGCGGAGACCGGAGAAATCCACCATCCTCTGGTTCTGAAGCGGGGGGCCAGCCACGAAATCCTCCGGCGGTCCGGGCGAGCTCACGCCGGCGTCGTCTTCTCGCGCGAGCCGTCGCCGGAAGACGTGCGGCGTGGCTCCCTCGGCGCCTGCGCCCTCTGCCTGACGCCCCTCTGCGCTTCCTGCGACGCTTCATGTACCGGGGGGACACGCCATTCTGCAGCGAGGGCTGCCGCGGGGAGATGATGGTGACAGACGAGGCCCGGGAGAGGGCGGTCCGGCGGCGCCGCCACCGCATCTCCGCCGCGACTCAGGCCGTCGCCGCTGAGCGCCTCCATGCTCGGGTTGGCAGCGCAGTGATCTTCACCTAGGAAAAGGAAGTTTACAGCAGCTTGCCCACCATCAAAGCCAACTAGACCTTTTATTTTTCAAACTTAAGAAGGAAGTTTGACGGTTTAGGTTTATAGAAACGTCCATCTTCCCCCGCCACTGGGAGTTCCCCGGAATACTTCCGTTCCCCGGAATACTTCCATAGTCAACGCTGTCCTCGTCGCGACATTTTGGTATTACTAGCATCAAAAGAACGCATAAAGTAGTCATCACATAAATTAACATATTGAAAATGAGAAGGGGAGAGTGGAGGTATAAGGAAGGTAGATAGGAGGAAGAGATGAGAAAGGTTCACTAGGGAGAGAGAGAGCGAGAGAGAGAGAGAGAGAGAGAGAGAGAGAGAGAGAGAGAGAGAGAGAGAGAGAGAGAGAGAGAGAGAGAGAGAGAGATGAGAGATGTTCAGTAGGGAGGGGGAGAGAGAGAGAGAGGTTCGTGAGGGGAAGCTTCGCTGGAGAGGAGAAAGGCAATCCCTCGCCCCCTTTCAGCGGAAGGTTTTTTCTTCTTCTTCTTTGTTAGTTCTCTCTTAGAACAGGAGAGAGTCTTACGACGTGTTCCCAAAATACTCTCAACAATAAACCCAATATCTACCCTTCAAGCTGAGCAGTAATGAACTGTTACTTTGACAAAAAAAATGGAAAAGAAAAAAGAAAAAAGAAAACAACTCAACACATTACACCAAGAAAACCGGGCAAGAAAGAAAAAGAAAACAAAGGTTCTTCTACAAATGGATAAGAAAGATTGAGACCCACTCCTCTAATCTGTACATCTTCCAGTTGATTTGTTGTGCTCACATATGAGGTCAATAATGCTAGAATGAAGTTTCTTTTTTACATATTTTGTCCAATTACGATCAATCTTTACATGTTTTGTCCGATCATGATGAACAAGATTATTGGTAATATTAATAACTACCTTATTGTCACAATGCAGCTTGAGAAGAGATGAACTTAGAAGTTTGAATTCTAATAAGAAAATTCGTAAACATAAAATGTCACAAATACTTTTGAGTGCTGAGAGAACGAGGGTTATGCATAAATTAGTTAGCTACACTTTCAATATAGGCAATGTTTGGACTAGTATGTGAAATGTATATCAATCATCCTATGATTCGTTGATATTGCAGTTTTTCCCTTGTCACTTGATAAGTAATGATTTTGCTCCATAGGAGTGTCATCTAGTCTAAGAATCCAACATGTCAGTTTCCATAAGAAGATTTTAAATGTATTTTCTTTTAGAGAGAAAAATACTCTAAGGAGATCAAGAGACTTCAATTTAGAAAAAATATCTTAGTCAATTGAGGTCTTTCACTTGAAAAGTTTAGGCCAACTTGATCCAATTGATTAGTTTCTCTAACATCATTTCCATTTATCATGATATGATCAATATACACAATTAAAATTATGATTATATTCAAATTTTTTCGAAAGAAGGTGGTATGATCATCATTATTCTTCTTATAACACATCTTAATGATAACTTTTCTAAAATTATCAAATCATACTTGAGGACATTAATTAAGATTATAAAAAGATCATTTTAAATGACATACTTTTACAACTATTTTGGCATTGACAAATCCATGTAGGATCTCCATATATACCTTCTTTTGAAGGTCTTAATAAAGGAATATATTTTTCATACCAAGTTAGTCTTTTTATAGCGCACGTCAACGATAGCTTTTTTGAAAAGATCAAACCATGCATGAGGACATTTTTTAAGATCATAAGGGGATCATCTTAAATTACATACCTTTTCAACTATTTTGGCAGTGAGAAATCAGATGGAATCTCCACTCTTAGACATCTCCATGAAGGAGTGTATTTTTCACATCAGGTTAATCTTCTTATAACCTATCTCAAGTATAACTTTCTGAAAATAATCATACCATGATCAAAAAGATTGTTTGAGATCATAAAGGAATAGTCTTAAATGATATACCTCTGTAGTTGTTTTATTAGTGATAAATCTAGGTGGGATCTCCATATATACCTCATCTTTAAGGTCTCCATGAAGGAATATATTTTTCACATCAAGTTGAAAAGGATCCAAACTATTGTTAACAATGCATGATATGAGGGTTCTTATTGAATTTATCTTAAAAACTGGTGAAAATATTTCTTCATAGTTCATATCATATATTTGTGCATACCTTTTTATGATTAAAATAATTTTATATTGATCAAAAACACCTGTTATTGTTTGCTTGATTGTAAAAATCCACTTGCAACCTATAGCTTTCTTATTAGCTAGTAGAGATGTGAGCTCTTAAGTTTATTTTTTCTCGACCACTTGTATTTCTTCAAGCATGACTTTCTTGCACTTTAGATCTTGTAATACAATCTTTCAACTTGTAAGCATAAACATGACGGAAAATGATATAATAAAACTTTGATGAGATGGAGATAGACTCATACGATACAAAACTAATCTTGCCATGCATATATCCCACACAATTTCTAAAATAACAAGGAATGCTAAGATGATGAGTATACTTACTTGGAGCGATATAGATCTTTATTATTTATAACAGAATAATTAAGTGATTAAGAACAAACACCACTTATTCAAAAGGAAATGTAATAAATAAAAGTGAAGTTGTTGAAACTTTAGGGGGTGATTTGGTATGTAAAGAATGCATAATGTGCTCTTATGTATAAGAGTAATCCAATGATATTGATTTATTTGAGTATGACAAAGTTTCCCCCTCAATATCAACACATTTTGAATATCATAAAAAATAAGTGAGTAAGAAAAAAAAAACTTGAAGACATATTTAGCTCCCCTTGTTGATAATCATCATGTAATAAAACTCATACTTTAATGAAACTTGAAATCTACTATTGTATTTCTACCTTATGTGAAGCTTATTTTAGATCTAAAGAAATATGTATAATACAAAAATAATTAAATTAGGCTAAAAATTTCAAATTCCCAATATTGCATGCTAAAGTGGGATAAAATTTTGAAGACTTTATGTAATGTACAACTTAAATTATCCTCCCTGATGATTATTATTCTTTAGTTAGAGACGAATGATGGGTACTCATGAAAATGATTGGCAATGTCATGCATAGATGATGACAAGGGTTGGGGGACAAAGAATAGCAAGGCTTCAATGTAGGGACAAACTTCTATGATTAAATTGGGGCCATGAGTGAGTAGTGAGTAGGAGTCATGAGCACAAACAAAAGTTTGGAGCCCTTGATAGAGGAAGAGAGAAATGTTGAGGTTTAGAAACTTGAATGAGTTTTGAAATCGATAAAACTAGGCAATAGCAAAACCATTATTTTACATCATGAATTAACACAAGATATCAACAAAAATATTTCAATATATGATTTTACATTTCAAAAAATTGTAGTAGATCAATGTCAATATTTCAAGAAATTACTTGTTTGTTGTAGAATAGCACAAACAATGAGGATTTACCTTGCAAAAGAACAAACAATGAATATCAACTTTTATATATATTATATAAAATAAAAATAGGATAACTACTTAACTCAATAACTTTTTTTTTATAACTTAAGTAACTTAGTACATGGGAACTAAATAACTTAGTATAACTACAATGAGTACTATAACTTAACATGACAATATGTGATTGTTTATATGTTAGTTTAAGAAGAGTTACATGGTTGAATAATAGACAGTGTTAAGATTTATTATTGAAGTACAAATAAACTGAGTTTTAGATTTCAAGTATTAAAATAAATATTGGTACATAAATAAAACATTATATCACGCAGAATTTTTCAATATACAAAATTTACTTTATGAAAAATGCAATACATCAGTACTAATATGTCAACATATGGAAAATTATGTTCATAAATAATTCTGTACATCATCCTTAATATGCTATGATGATAGTATATAAGGAGTTGTATTGAAAAAATAATAGAGTGTATGTTATTTAAAATGTGAATATGTGACAAGTTACAATGGGAAAGTGTAAAGTACATCAAGCCTAATATCTTCATACATGGAAATTTTAGATTGCAAGTGTAGCAATATAAAATAGCATGACAATATTTACATTTGTATCTATGAATCATACAACAACTTTGGATAAGCATTAGAAAGCATTAGCAAAAGAATCCAAAATTTGAAATTCATTGAGAAAGATAGTGTTGTAGTAATAGAACAAAAACTATTTGTTTGATGTCTATAGGTACCCTTAGAATAACACAAAGTGCAATCTTAATCATTGTTGAAGAATAAATTAAAAAAAGGACTTTCCAATAAGTGGAATAAAATTTGAAACTCATAATTTGAGAGAAAGTAGCATTACCTCCATTTGCTACATTGACAATGCCAACAACATAATTTCATTTTTCATCTCCATGAATAACTTTTCAAGCTACTGAAGCAATGAGAAGAACTTCAAAATTTACCTCATTAAAACATTATGAAGAAGTTTTGGAATCCATGATTTTAAGGTTGAATTAAGTTATTTTTGAAAATATTTGAATTGTATTGGTAAAAACTTATCACTATTATAAAGTGTTGCTGTGTGCTTGGTTGTTTTCAGAGTTGATGATGTCTTTATTATCATGAGTTAATAATTAATAAATAATATAATTTCAGTCTTAACTCATAGTAAATATACTTATATTTATGTTAAATTATGAAAAGTGATTTTTAGTTAATTAATGTGATTTTTTAGCTAATTATGTAATTTTATGTAAATTTATATAATTTTTATAATCTTATTTTTAAGATAAATAAAGAAAAATAAATGAAAATAAAAAAATAAAAAAGGGGGGGACCTGCTGGCTAACCAAGCCCGCAAGTAGGTAGGAAGCACAATTAGGGTAGAACCATGAGCAAGGGCTCGAGCGACAATGGACCGATGAGGCATGAGTGCATCACTCCCTTTTCATATCACTGGTAGCCAGCCGAGTGTGGGGCAAATAGTGGTTGTACACACGTGAGAAAGAGAATAATTGATTTTATAAATCTTGTATCACTATATATCCATCTCAAAATTTGGCATATAATTGACGTGGGATTAAACCGCAGTCACATCTTTCTCAAAATATTTTAATAATTTTTGTATCTCAAATACTCCTAATTTATCAAAATGAGGTACCCTACTGACGTCACTTTATAAGGGTATTTGTACACTTATTTCACTATCTTTCATACAATCAAGTGACGGTGAGGGTTCAAATTATACTAGAGCCAAAACTCATATTTTTATCTGATTAAATCGTAATTTTCCTATAAATCGTTGATGAATGATTAAGTCACTAGAATGACTCAATTATTAACAAAAATCTTGACAACGTGATTCGTAGAGTATAGTTACTAAGAGATGAGTTGCTACCTCCTAAGAGTGTACTAGATGCGATGAAGAGGCTCCTCTTACTACTCGAACATGAGGATGAAGTTCCCTAACATGTGCCCTACCTCTATTCAACTTCTCTCCGTTTGGTGACAACCATCAGAGAGCCGCAAAGTTGTCATTCTTATGCTCTCTAAGGTGATAACTGTCGAAGATGATTTGACGACCCATTTTCTTGATTTTTAGATATTACAAGAAGATCTATAGATTGTCCACATCGTTTTTGTCTAAGGAGAGCCTTTGAAGTCGTAGACATTACATAACAATCTTATCAATACTCAGGATTGTGATGCATTACTGTCGCATCGCCGCTGTGATACTATAACTCTGTTTTATCATTTTTTAATTAGTTTAACTTCTATAGTTATTTTTTAGACTTTGTAAGGAGATCTAATGAATACCTAGATCGTCTATATCTAAGGAGAGTCTTTGAGGATCATTTGATGATCCTCCCGAACACATAGAATTTCAACGATCGCTATCACGAGGCCAAAACTTTACTTTTTTTACTTTTAACTTAATTTTCACTTCATTTAAAAATAATTTGTGTGATTTAAAATTTTCAAACTACTCTTCATTCAATTACGGTTTTAGGTTTTACAAATCTTAATTTGATCAATTAAATCGTCTATAATCACTTACGTAAGAATTATTGAGAGGAATTCTATTTTCGTCTAATTTGCATTTGCCGGGCACTGATGTCATCATGATATCCGCACTCTTATTTTCTTTTTTTATAAATTTTAAATATATTTTATTTTTATTTATGAGTGTAAAATTTATAAAATAATTATATTCTTTGTAAAAAATTCTAAAATATTACTCTATATTATATCACATCACTATGATTGACTTGGATTTTTTTGTACTATTTTTAGAACTTTTATTAAATTATAATTGATTTATTTATTTAGAAATATTTCTAAATATCTAAAATTAGTATTTTCTAGTTTTATAAATTTTAAATTTACGCATTTGTTATACAGCGACTAAGTCATGTTAGTTAGGAATATAAAAGAACAAACTGACACCACAATATTAATATTTTGGTGCCTAGAGTTAGGTATCTTAATGTAAATGTTGAGATTTTTAGATTACTAAAGATATGAATATAGTGGATGCTAGTTGCCTAATAATAAATTGAGATATTATTAATAAATACTGAAACATACAGAAGATATTTTTAGTGAGTTGAACGAGTTAAGAGAATTGAGCCATAATAAATTATTCATCTTTTTTGCTAATCACCTTAATGATTTGCTACTAGTCAGCCTAGTTGGATCATAACATTCTGTTTCAATTTCCTAGAACTATTTCTTTATTATCTCTTGATTTAAATGAAGAAAAATGGAATCCCTCTCTCCCCTATCTTAATTTCTCAATGGCTTTATAACTCAGCATTGATACGAGAAGAGAAGAATGTGGGCTTGAATTCGTAAAGTATGATTTTTGATGAATAAAATATGCCTGAATCTATGGAACTAAGAACTTCAGCATTTAAATCTGCAACGTCTTGTTAGGTACAGCCTTGAATCCACAAGATCGATATGGTTCTCTTGAATCCATAGGGACACTTGAATCTATAGGAAAAGAAAGAGAGTAACATCAAAGGAGAGAAAAATTGTTAATGATTCAAATTACCCTTAGGGTTATAATGTGGGTGCATTTAAATAGGCTTAAAAAGGAGGTGGGATGCTAAAAAAATAAACAAATTCTAGAACATAATCAAAATAACTTTTCAGCATATATCTGAAATAGATAAAGAAAAATAATTTTTTTTTAAAAAAGAAGCAGAAATAGAACACAACTGACTTAACAAACTTGGTGTGATTCAATCATCTTCTATTTTGTTTTTACCCAATAAAGTTATTTTTTCCTCTTTTAGCATTTTCATCTTTGCAATCTATTTCTAAAGTGGCTTAGCCTCTAGTTTTGGGCTTCCCTTGTTTCTTTGCACTCTATGCTACATCACTTTATTGGACCAGGCAAAAAATAGGTAGCTAGCTGGTAACATGGGTGGGGATAAAGTGCAAAGAATGACGGATAAACGCAATCTCTTTTATGTTTATAGTGAAATTGGGGGGGGGGGGGGTAGTCAAATATTTAGAGATCCGTCCAGCCCGTGGCCAACAACTATAAGAACATTCAAAGGGACTTTTTTAATAAAATCTACTCCTGGGTCAACTGGTACAGTCCGAACGCAATCTCGGTCTTCGTGGACTTGGTGAAGAGCTCCTCCAATGAGTGTCGTTTGAACGGGTCAAGTCATCTGCAGGGGGATGACAGCAGCAGTGGGAATTTTAGAGTAGTTTGACCTCCATCAGATGGGGATTCCCTCCGATCGCCGCCCTACTTCCCTTTGAATTTAAATAGTCAACTCGTGAGGTGCAGTGGATGATGAGTCTGTCCTTTTCCTAAAAGAGAAGTAATTACCGTATTTAACCGTGGTTGAGACGTTGACCAATGAGCGTAGTGGAAGGGAGGGAGTAAATCCTTCGAGGTAGTCGTACTAATAACCGTGGTTCAGGGGCCTCAGGGGTGCGGGGTGGAAAGATCGAAGCGCGATGATTGGATTTGACTGGTCGCTGGGCATTGATCTTGCGGACGAGCCTTTTGCCTGATTTCGGGTTAGGTGGGTTGGCCCCACAATATGAGCGACCAGTTACTCTCCACGTTGACAGAGGAGGGTGGGCCCACGGTCATTACTATTTTGGGTAGAGGGCAGGAATCATTGTAACGGTCCTTATAAAGGAGAGCTTTCTGCGAGGGGAAGAGTGGTATTTTGGTAATTGTTGAGAACCGCAGGGCTTTTATGACGCCGCTTTTTTTGTCAAACCATTTGCACTCCGCACAACGGATGGGCCCATTGGATATTATCCGAACCCAGAAATGACCCACTGTTTGAATCCTTCCTTTCTCTCTCTCCCTCTTTCTAACTCTCTCTCTCGCTCTTAAAAGCTCCATGGGAGGATAGCGAGATAGCGGGGAGAAGCACAGGGAAGGAAATGGGGGAGAGCTCGGGGGGCTCTACAGAAGGCGGCAGCGGGTCGACGTGCTATCGTTCCACATTGGTGAGGAGGAGGAGCTTCGTGTCGCTTGGATGGGGGGCAGTGACCTTCTCTTGCGGGTCGCCGGGCGGCGAGAGCCGCGGCCACTTCCTCGACGAGTGCTGCCTCTGCCGGAGGCCGCTCGGGCGGTTCCGCGACATCTTCATGTACAGAGGGGACACGCCGTTCTGCAGCGAGGAGTGCCGCCAGGAGCAGATCGCGCTCGACGAGGCCGGGGAGGAGAAGAAGGGGATCCGCTGGAGTCGGAGGGAGAGCCGCGGAGTCCAGACCGTCCTCTCCCACGCTGCAGAGACCACTGTCGCGTAAGATACTCGGGCTTTTCCACCGTGATTCCAGAGAGAAGAGGGAGAGAGTGAAGAGGGAGAGAGTGAAGAGGAAGTCGGTAGGAGTGCAGGAGGAAGTCTCATCTCACCGGCGGCGACTCTGGTTGGCTGGCCGGGGAGAAATCAGATGGAACCACCTGCAGGAGGCAGGGAGGGAGGGGGGGGATCCCCCTCCTCGCGGCAGATCCGGCGATACGCAGCAGGTCTGTAAATAAGAAGTTCTCTCTGATCACCTGTACAATCTTCTCCAAACTAACAAGGAAACCATATTCTAGACTGGAAATTGTCTCTGCATAGCGGATGAGATTCCCGCTCGCACCCGCCACGCGTCCCCTCGTCATCTTTCCTCGGAGATTCGATGATCTCTCTTAGAAAACGAAGCTCCGAGCGCATAGTTTCTTCTGTATTCTGCGGTGATCTTGACTTGATCCCCCCTACCCACTCGCCCATTTCCCCCCCGTTTTCCCAATTCATTCATTCATAAGGCGGGACTTGAAGATTTATAGATAGCAGATTATCCTCCAAGATTTTTCCCCATAAATTCATACAGCTTAAAGCCACATCTTGCAGTGTAAACTTCGACCATGGAGACATCTGAATGAATTCACGACAGGACTAGGAAATCTGCGAGGAACGACGATCCTCAAAAAATAATATTTTCACAATTTATTAATGCCCAGTGGTGGTCGCCGCAAAGCGCAATTTTTTAAATCCATGGAGTAGTGTTCTTGGCCTCATCCAGTCAACTCTTTGGCCGAATCAGACCTATCAACGATGAGACCCAGATAGGTCTCTGATGGAGTCAACACGAGGATTCATCCACGAACCCCTCTTCTCCTCCAAGGAAGGCGCCTCTCCCTCCAAGAGACATCACTTGGCATCCTTTGGGAGGGGGCGCTTCTGACTACCTTCCCCTGCTTTCTATAAATATTCAAACTCACGAATACTTGAATGAAGTCGAATTTGGAATCAAGAAAGTTCTTGTTATCTCTCACCTCTTGGATTAGGGTTCCTCTTCTCTTTCGCTCGCCTCTTGGATTGGGAGTATCTTTCTTTCTCTTCTCCCACTTCGTCGTCCTTCCATCCAGTCGTCATCCGCTCGTCCACGCTTCAGCCAGTGCCTAGCCCGCCCCGTCGCAGCCATTCCATCTCCTCGCCGAGCGCCCCGTCGCCGCCGTTCCGCCTCCTCGCCGTCCGGCCCATCGCCAGCCTGCTATCGCCACCATTCCCCCTTCCGGCCATCCGCCTGTCGCGAAGCCCTTTACCTTTCTCTCTCCCACTGTTTAGCCACCCGTCCCGAGGAAACCCCTTTTCTCTCTCTCCCGCCAACGCCCTCAATTCGCCCCTTTTCTCCATCTGGCTTGTTTTCCTTTTTAATTATTATCATTTTTTTAATCAAAACCGGTTCGTGGAACCTAGCCGCCCGGCCCAAACAGTCCATTCCCTTCGAACCGCAATAGTCCACTCCTTGGTTCGAACCATTCGGTCTGAACCGTCCTGCCCCTGACTCTAGCCATTGATATCTTATCTCTCCTCTCGCCGCTGACGCTCATCTTTCAAGTTAAAACATCCCCAACAAAGCTCGAGGGGGATTCAAATCAACAAGAATCTTCAAATCTTATCTAAGTCATCTCTAAAACTCAACTTGTGATTCTTTTTGAGGGGATATCTTCTGACCTCCTTGTCCTACATCAGTCTCTTTAGAAAGAATAACCAACTCAAATAGAAGTAAAAGTACAAAGCCTACTATAGCTGGGGAGAATGATGAAGGAGAGCTTACAACTGGGCCCTTATGACTGGGGAGAAGGAAATGTCATTTCAATTACTCATGTCCCATGTGTGGAACTTGGCCCAATCTTCAACCTAGCTGTGATAACCCTCATGTGGAGAAAATGAAATTCTAGTTGTGGAACCTCATCATTGGCATAAGACCACAAGGTGGCATATGCAAGCATGAGTGACGAAGTCATGTTGACATGGCATGCATAGAAGAGCATCTTGTAACATACGACTATGACATATAATTAAGAGTTTAATGACATAGAATTGTGTTACTCTATGTATGGACCAAAGATGACAATCATGGTCCACTTTTTGAGGGTGTAATGTTATTGTCTCTTAGTTAGCCATTTCATTTTACAATAATAATGTGGTGTAGTTATACCATATGAGCTCATTTAATAGTAGTTTCAATGTCAAAATTTTCTAGTAAATTCATGTTGTCACTTTCAAAGACAAGTTGGGTGGGCCAAGTGGTGGTTCGTTGAGGCCCTCAACCCTAGATAGTATGAGGTGAACCTTATGACATTAGTAAAGGATATGATTCTAAAGAACATTTATACTGTCTTAATTGTTGCCTCAAAGGTGACATACTTATTTTAACAAACAACTGCATGAATGACTCATCACTTCTAGGTGGAGGATGAAGTCCTCTACATGCACAAAAAGTTATACTATTGTATGTTGTGAGAGGTGCATAATGAGTCCTACACCAAACACCTTAGATAAGACTACATGCTCATGTTACTATCTAATATCTACTACTAGCACTACATGGACTAAGATGTAGAGGTGTACATTTGGTCTTACTTCATGTACCAACATGATCATATAGAACAAATCAAGGTAAGAGTCACACCAGAGTGGTTGCCTATTTTATACTTAGAATGGAAGCCCTTATCAATATAACTAATCATAAGCCTACTCAAGTTGAAGGGATACAAGACAATCTTGGTTGTCATTAATTTCTTCAAGGTTTTAGTGGCAACATAGATGAAAGACTTAGAAGAACATATGAGATGCCTCTTTATGATAAATGTGGTGAAATTGTAAGTACTACTATGGGACAAATAAAATGAAATCGAGGGTCATTAAAAGCCCCAAAATCAATTGATCAAAAATATTTAGAATCATGAATTTACCAATTAAAATATCAAAATAGGTAAGTAATGTGGTAAGTTTGAGGTTGATCCACAGGGAATGCGAATTAGGTATTACTTAGTTACTATTTAATTTGATTGATATGTTTTTTTTTTTGGATAATTGTCTTGGGCCGAACTTCTCAGGAGGTTAGATTTGATATGTTTAAATCAAATGAGCTCAAAAGAGAGGCGACGGTGAGTAAGAAGAATTTTCGCCATCAAATAAGGAGAAATATAAAATCAATGATGTGGACAATACTAGAGAGGTGAAAACATGCATAAAAGACTCGTAATGCAGAATTGAAATTGTAAATCACTTTATTTTAAACTTACAAATACATAACTGATTGATTACATGTAGAACACGTCGAACCTGGATGAACTTACCTTGGGCCTCTATATGTCGTCAAGGCCATGCGATTTCTTCTTCGAGTAGCTTTTCTAAAGATCTACGCTTTGAATCCACACATGAATCAACCAAAATACATCCAGAACTGATGTGAAACCTCAATGTTATTTCATGCGAGCCAACTAAATGTCAAGGCATTCGAAGTTAATTTTTTTCACCCTTAAACGATGGCTTAAATGTAAAGAGTTTACACGAGAGTATGAAAATACATGTGTAGGACTATGATTAAATGAAGGTATTTCTATTTTTTTGGTCGTGATAAGATCAAGCAAGAGTTGATTTCTTCTCGAGTTGATGTGAAATGTAGGATTTGGAGATCTTGTCATAGTCATAGGATCTTTCTTAATGTTGAGATTTGCTACACCTTCGGTTAGTATGCACCATCTGTCATTGATTGTGTAGACGTTCTCAACGGCTTTTGATCTCTTTATTCGATGATGTTGCATGTCAATGCCTTAGCCCTTGAATTCATTGCCTCATCTCCATAGATCAGATCTCGCCTATCGAAGCATATATCAGCTTCTCAAAAATCATAAAAAATATATTTAAAATTCTTGAAATTGTCTCATATTAATAAAAAATAATTATGACTATAAAACTCATTTTTTATAAAAAATTCTCTAAAATATTAAATTTCATGATATACTCAAAGAAATAATAAATGTTTATTTTTTAATATGATATATGTTAGATTGTAAGATTTATGCTCTTGAATAAAATAATTGGAGATTTATGCTTAAAGATTTATGCTCATGTAAGATTTTTACTCCTTTCGTATCATAATTAATATGTTATTAGGGACATTATTAGAGATCAAGATCTGTTGTTCACTAGTAGTTTTTAATTAATTCTTGTCACACAAATAGAACACCTTACTAATTGATGTGACTAAGTCGTTATATATTAAATCACGCAAATCTAAGATTTATAAAACTAGAAAATATGAATTTTTAAATATTTAGAAGTATTTATGAATAAATATATCAATTATAATTAAATAAAACTTCCAAAAATAGTGATAATTTTTCAAGTCAATCACAGGGATGTAATATAATATCTAGCAATTATTCAGAATTGTTCTCAATGAATACGATTTTCCATGAATTTTATACTAAGAAATGAAAAAGAAATATATTTAAAATTCACGAAAAAGGGAAATAAGTGATTCTTAGATTTTGCCTGGCAATTCTTACGTAAGCGATTATAGACGATTTAATTGATCAAATTAAGATTTGTAAAAGTCAGAAGAATCGTAATAGAACAAAATATATTGTGGTAAATTAAAATCACAAAAACTATCGCTAAATGAAGCGTAAAGTAAGTTGAAAGTAGGAAAATAGAGTTCCGGTGTCGCGACGGCGATGCGTCGGTGATGCACTAGAATTCTGGGCGTTCAAGAGGATCGTCGTGTAGTGTCCACGGCCTCGAAGGCTCTCCTTGGACAAAGACGACGTGGACAATTTCTAAATCTCCTTGCGAAGTCTAGAGATCAATGAAGTGGGTCGTCGAATCGTCTTCGACGGCTGTCACCCGGCGAAGCGGAAAAATGGTGACTTTGCGGCTCTCCGGCAGCTGTCACCCGACAGAGAGGAGCTGGATGGAGGTGGGGCACATGTTAGGGAACTTCATCCTCAGGTCCGTGCAGCAAGAGGA